TCGACACAGTTGATTTTGATTTACTAATTCAAAAATTAAAATATTATGGTATCGGACAACGCACAATTAATTGGTTTACAAATTACAAGTCATCTGTATGAGAGATACTAAAATAAAAAAAAGTTAATTTTAAAAAGAAGTCTATCATCGGAGTTATTACATTCAAAATCCAAATTCAAAATCGGGCAGCTCGAATAATAAGTAATATCCTTTGGGATTTGTTGGGAAGCTACAGCCTTAATAAACTTGGATGGGATACGCTTGAACACAAAAAGAAAGAAAATATCGCTTTAATGACGTTCAATATACTTATCAAAAAAGCCCCTTCTTATTTAATTAATAAATTCTCGTTCAGAGAAGCCACATAATACGAGAAGTGACAATCTGTGTGTTAAGAACATCCAGCCTAAAACGGATTGAACCAAACGCACATTTGTGTACAGAGGCGCTTGGCTATGGAACTCACTACCACACGAAGTGCAAGCTGCACAAACCAAGTACAGTTGTACAACAGAATAACCAATGTATAATCATATATATAATATACTATGCTCAAATATATCTATGAACTTTCGAATGTTTCCTTCTAATTTTTGGTGCGTCCATGTTTGTGTTGTTTGAAGTTATGTTGTTGTGTATGCATCTGCTCGGGTACTTTTAAATTTCCATATGATATAATATAGCTTCAATTCATTTTATCTCACAATGATTAAATAATAGAGTTTTGTCTTTTGTGCTTGTTATTTTACCTCACTTTCAAGTGTTCCTTTACTGACTTAAAACATTGTAATCATATCCTTAATTGTAATGATATTTTTTTGTTTTTTTTTGTTTAAGGTAATCATATATATATATATATATATACTTGAACTTATAATAATTCTTATTTTCAATTTTGATTTTGAATATTTGCAGTATCTTGACCAGCCACATTTGATTATTCTTAATTTTATAAATTCCTTTCCGGCAGTTTTTTTGAACTATAACAATTCTTATTACCAATTGGACTTTGTAGACTATTGACAGTACTCTTGTTCAGCCACTCATGATATTTTTTATTCATATATATATATATATATATATATATTCTATTCCAGCAGTACTATTCTATTGTGTGTGTTTTTTATTATTTATCTTAATCTTGTTATTTCTTGTTTGTTTTAAATATGTACTTTGATGTACCATTGTAATTTTGTTTATTACAAATGATATGTTTATTTGATGTATTTACATTCTTTCATACGGCCCTAATGGAAGTCCGTCTTGTAACTGTTTCGGCTTTTTTAACCGGGTATAAATAACATTAAAAAATTGAGATAACAACCTATTGAATGTCACATAAAGTAATTTTGGGTAGATTTTTATACCTTCTAGCTCTACATACTTTTTGCTTCTTTGTTTTAGGTAGTTATTCCTTTAATTTCTTCATTAGGCAATCAATTTTCCACTTTCAATTCTCTAAAATTCCAATGTTTACAGAAATTGCAACCTATAATATACTTTCATATTATGCCTTATTTTTTTCCACAGACTGGAATCCTATTTGATTTTGTATATCTTTTACACATGGAGCGCTTGGACTCTGATTTCGTGCACCAGTAAGCTTTTTTAGTATTTTTAAAGATATTTTGACAAATTTATTAAATGTACAATACATAATGTGAATAGAATCTTCAAACGTGTCTGTAAAATCACATAAAGAATAACAAAAATCCTTGTAATCATACTGTTCCCCTTTAGCAAAAGGTTTGGTTCAGATCTGCCAAATATTTTGCAAGTATATAAGTGGTTAAGGTATTTTTATTTAGTTTATTATTTTCTACGAGTATGGATTTGGGGTGAGCTCACGAAATTGTTTGTGCGTACCAAAAATCCAAATAACCAGATTTAGAACTTTATTTATTCCAAATTTTATTCACAAGAAAATTGTTCAATGCTCAAACAATAAAGACCTCTCAGTTGTAAACAGTTTATGATTATTTCAACTTTGTTAAAAGTCATTTGCCATGTACTTATTCACTTTTTCTAAATTAAATTCTTTGAGTTGAAGAAGGAACAATAGTAACAATTTGTTATGCCTCCGTTACGAAGTAGCCGTCCGTCAGTACGTCCCGTTCTCGTGATCGCATTATCTCAAGAACCGATTGATGGATTTCTGTCAAACTTAGGTCATGTGTGTATCTTGCAGAGCCAATGAACTGATTCGATTTTGGGTCACGAGATCAAAGGTCAAAAGTCACAGGGCTCATTATGTATGCGAAAATAGCTTGTGATCACATTAACCGATGGACAGATTACTATCAAACTCTGAACATGTATGTATCTTGCAGAGCCATTGAACTGATAATATGTTAGGTTCGTGAGGTCAAAGATCAAAGGGTCATACATGAACTTGTAAAATAGCTAGTAATCACGATATTCTGAGAACCTGTTAATGGATTACAATCAAATTTGAATTTTAAAAATTGCTTCTGTTTTGGTTTGTAAAATGGCTCTATGGCGGAGGCATCATTTTCGACTGCGCACAGTTGAAGGTCCATCTAGTTTTCATATAAGGCTTAATGCAGGTTACACGAATTATGAATTTCGCAATGTTTGACACAAAACTTTTTGTTAATTTCTTACACAGATCAGACATTGGATTGCACAAAGAGCATAATACTTACATCCCCGAACTATCCTTCGCTTTACCCCAATGATGCATTCGAGGAGTGGTCCATCACAGCACCTCCTAATAGGAGGATCCTCGTCACTTTTAATGACTTTAACTTGGAATATCCTTATGATTACATTGACATTTGGGACATGTATCATGTTAAAAAGCCCTACACAGGCGAGGATATGCAATTCCCTCCATATCTGATGTCAGGGCATACTCTCCATATTGAGTTCACCTCATCTAGAAATGGCAGAAGCAAAGGATTCAACATTTCAGTCTTGTGTAACGAACTTTCAAGTAAGTTCACTCGTATGATCAAGATAGGAAAGAGCATTCTGTAAATATTAACCTAATTTGTACGATTTCATATATTGTAACATGTACACGTATTTTCACTGTTTATCACAACTTCAATTTATAATTAATGTCTCTCCCCGCCCCCCCCCCCCCCCCCCCCCCCCCACTCAGGTTTCGAAATGACCGCATGCGTGTTGCCAAAATGTCCGGTAAAGGGGTACTTTTCGTGCGACAAAGTCCGGCCCGAGAAATGTAAAAAAAGGGGGTGTATTTGACTTTCACCTGGAGATTTCTTTAAAAAGGGGGTGTTTTTCTTTCATCTCTTTGAAATTAAAAAAGGGGGTTATAAAATATCTTGAAGTTGAACATAAAAAAATTGATGAATCCCGCGATCAGATTTCAGAAATTCCTGCTAGTTTTGAAAGCTCAGGATTCAGGATTATTTCATTATGAAAAGTAAAAACATTGAGTCCCATGCACTCACGTCCCAGTACGGCGGCAGTACGGACTTCTCAAAATCTGTGAGAGAGAGAGAGAGAGATAACAACAGAACGTATAGTCTAGCCGTACGGCGCATCCGTTAGCTGCACGCTCAGCATGCATATCGGCCTAGGCTCTGCATCAAGCCGGACGCGCAATTTTTTTTTACACGCTAGCCTGGCCATTTCTATGATAAACACCATGGAAACGACTAATATTAGTCTAGCAGCCTACATGCGAGGTGCATGATGATATCATGCATATCATGATGATATCATGCATGACAATCATCAGATAAAGACATAGCCCTTAAAATGAGACGGTAATCGCAGCCATCGGGTGATGGAATTCAAAAACATAATTTATTTTAATTTAATTTCGGAACTTTACATTAATCTTGATCTAAGGAGACACGAACGAACGAATGTTCAGCTAGCTAGCTGAACGTTCGTTCGTTCGTGTCTGCTAGAGAGCAACTCTCATCCCTGTAGCAACCAAAGTTAAACTGCGGTAGTGCATGCCTATGTGTAGGCTTTACCACCAGCGCACTTTTACGAGTATTACGGGGAAACTGGCCAGGCTAGCGTGTAAAAAAAATATTCGCAGCCGGCGCATCAAGATGGGGTATGAGGCGTGGGCCCTGCCAAAATTGTCATGATTGGGACGTCTTTGAGCAGGACCCACAGTCTCCTCGTTGTGGATATTGTGGCTGTCTACCTGTGGCTCACAGGGTGGCACATTCAGGTGAGTAGTTTGCCCTATAGTTTGATCGCAATAGTAACACTTTCAAACTCATTTTCCTACACCCATGAAAATGAATATGTGGGACTTGGATCTAGACCTATGTAGTTTTGTACTGTAGTGTAGGCTACCCTAATTCACACACAGGCACAGCTGCATTAGTAATAGGTCTACTATCCTGGCTGTGTATTAAAGGGATCGTTTAACAATGTTAAATCTGAGATGCAAGGCCCTACATGTTATCAGTGTCTGTGATATGGTGTAATATTGAAGCCCTAAAAAAAATTGTGCTTCAAAATGATCAAGAAGAACTTAAAGAAGTGCCAACCAGTAATGACAGCTTATCTGAGATGAGAGGGGGGGGGGGGTCTGCATGTCCTGAGATAGGGGGTACATTGAGCAGCGTTCCGGATTTAGGGGGGTCTCCAAGGCAGGAAAAGCCCGTGAAAAGCCCGCGAAAGGGGGGTTCGGAAATGTTGGCAGTGCTCAGATAGGGGGTCTTTTCAAAAAGAGGGTACAAGCATACGCGTACCCTAAATAACACTGAGTGGGGGGGGGGGGGGGCTGGGTGTCTCTCCAAGTCTTATTTTTGTCATAAAAGCGCACTGTTCGTTTCATTCAGGCTTAAATTCACTTTTGTAGTTGGCATAATTATTTCACCTTAAGTCAATTCTTTGAAGGGGTGCAATACTACTTTCTTATTATTTTCTCATTAGACGCTTTTTCTGGCCGTTTAATGGACGGTGCTTCACCAGCAGAAGGATTTCTCGAGCTGCCCACACAATCTGGTGAATGGAAGAGAGTCTGTGGAGACCGCTTAACCGAGAGGGTGGCAGAGGTGATTTGTGGAGAACTTGGCTATCCTGGGTTCAAGGAGATCTCGTACGAGAACTCCACATGTGCTTCAGATCAAGACAACTGTACAAGAGCTCCAACTTGCAACCCTTGTTCGTATATATTTTTTCTTCCCTTATTTAATAGAATATACAAATCATCACTAGGATTACAAAAAGACACATTGTTCCAAAATATTCTCCCAGTGCACATCACTATAATAGATTTATCTGTGTTTTGATAACTTTTTTTCTACAGCTACATATCGTCTGGTGGATTGCACAGCTGAGCATTCAATGTGCTCGTCTGAGAAGGTCGTCAAAATAATATGTCATGGTAAGTCAAGATGTCTCTTGTTTGTCCTGATCATAATAAGATACATACATCCCCTAGGGTGTAACAAGAGGGACAAAAAGTGGGGATTATTGCTTATGATCCTTTCAACTTTCCTTTTAATTGTTGATTAGTTTTTTTGTGCAATACTATAGTAGAATTTTTACATAAATATATATTTTCTAAACATTAGAAAAGTTCAAAATTCCCAGTCTGGTTCCATGGAAACGATGCTATTGCATTAGGCCTTCAGCAGATGAAAACAGCCACGAACGCCTTGATTAAAGGCTCTATGAGAGAGATAAACACAAGTACGTACAACTTGCTAGGCCGGCCGTCTCTTAAATCCTAAAAAGAGTCATTTATGACATGTAATTGTATATATGTATATATATATATATATATATATATATATATATACATAAATAATTCATAAAATAGTGGGTGGCAAAAATAGTCAACTGTGACTGATTGCCAAACAAAATCAAATCAAGAAAGAAGGAAGGGGGTAGAGAGAGGGGGAGAAACAGAGAGAATGAGACAGACAGAGAAGGAATAATACACGTGCCTTTTTTAGACACCGTCTTCATCATTACAAGGGTTTGCGTATTACGATGTGCTTGTTGTGTGTTTGTTTTTACATTAAAGTATCTTGTTGGGTTTTTCCCACAGAGCCCGGATATAAAGGATGCTATAAACTCGACACCAAGACATTACAGAACGTCTCCAATTTTAAGTTCTCTTCGACTGCACATTGTCTTTATTTGTGTAAAACCCACGATATCCTAGCTATCGCTATTATGAATCAAACGGATTGTGTTTGTTCCCATCTTCCGGGGTCCAGTTGGGAAATGAACCGAAGTGCAGTGAAGAAACAACGTCGCTATCAAAGATGTTAGTTTATGACGGTAGGCACATGCAGGCATTATTTATTTGATACGATCGAGACAAAAATTTAGGAAATAAACTTCAGACCAATTTCATAACTATATTGCAAAGCTTTAGAAATCATGTTAGGATAATGCAATATTTCACAGTAATGTTCACACATTTCAACAGGTGACGCACAAGACTATTGACATTGCCTTAGGTTCATGTTTTTTAACTCATCAAACCTTACCCTGGTGCTAGGCTTACACTGGTATCGTCTATCAAATTATATCCATAATGGAGCAAAGATAAAATGAAAACTATCTTAGAAATTTAGAAATTAAACCGATAATTGTAATTTTGTATTGAAGAACTTATATCAAAGAACTTTTAAATTTCAAACTTAATCGACACAATCGCTACTTGCGTAGTTCCCTAGATACGTTGTTGCTGCAGATCCCATCTATCAAAACAAAAGTAAAGCTAGGTGATCGAGCATTTGCTTCTGCAGCCCCGAAACTCTGGAATAACTTACCATTTGAAGTCAGGAAATCACAATCTGTGAATTTCTTATAATAAAAATTGAAAGCACATCTTTTTCAATTAACTGTAAATGTAAGCATATCAGGAGCTATTGTAGCGCAGTAGAATATATACTTAATGTTGAATAGTTTCTGCGCTCTATAAATGTATTATTATTATTATTGAGGCATGCATGTCATTGTAATAAAATTCCCAGTATGTCGTGGATTTTTTTGGAGAACTTTGATATATGCCATAGTTATCGTTCATCTAAAATGTTAAAATGTTCACAAAATAATTAAATTTCATTATCAACCTTCCTCTGAAGAAATCTGATAAATTTCTCTCAATAAATCTCATACCTCTTCTTTATAGCTTCTGTAGGTTTCTGTGAGGAGCTGAATGACACGACTGGTGGATCTTGGAATTCTAAGATCACGTGGTTTAGTTCTATCGTTCATCTTACATGTATGGATGGATACAGTCTGAAAGAAAATGGAACCCTGCGGTGTGTGCCGGGGTCATCACCATTGAATCCTGTATGGAACGATTCAAAGCCAGTTTGCATAATAGTTGGTAGGTGACGAGAGCCAACACTTTATTTTTGTAAACTGTTTTCGCATATCGAGAGTTCTCCCTTTTGTTAAAACCTGTACCTACGTTATTGTTATTATGCTCGTTCATTTCGGTTCATTGATACAACAATCCGAATTAGAATCTGTACGAAGAAAAATAAACATACCAAGTGTTACACGCAGGGTTGCAGTTTGTAATAGGCCTATTATATAACATAATATATACAGTTCTAATCTATTTAGGACGGAGCAAAGCATTGGAAATAAATTGATATTTCTGGAAAGCCTTATTTTAAGAAAATGATTATCTTTGACGATTACACACAAAAACATATTACCATAAAATGATTTATACCACACTTGGTCTTTAAACAAAAATGAATAATTCTTATGGGGAATCTGCATTACTGCAAGAAAATCATTTTTTAATTGAATAATATCTAAAATAAAAATAAACCGGTAAACTACTTGTACATTTTCAAATATGGATATGCAAAAATTTAAAATTAAAAAATGGAAAATCACTTTTTTTATTCATTCTTTTTTCTTCATGGAGAAAGCTAATGCTGCCGTTATACATAAATTCATTTGGAAAACAAAAAAAGACAAAGGTTTGAAAAAAGATTAAAACAAATAGGCTACCAAGTTACAACCTTTAACAAGATTTTGTATTTAATTGTGTCTGTTTAAAGACATCTCCAGAAAAATTATATCTTGATTTGTTTCACTACCAACTGGTACATCTACAGTGTTGGATGATGGTTCACGTACGTTTTCGTTATTTTAACGACATTCATGCACTAATAAAACCGTACTCGTAGGCTAATTACTTCAAGAGAAGTACTTCTTCTAGAAAAGGCAAACAAATTATTCCTGACTACCTTCTTTCGTTTTATTCCCATAAAGTAAGGCCTAAAAAAAAAAGAGATGTTGCAATGCCCTCAAAACAGCGACCATCGCCCCAAAAATTCAAAACCGCCGGGGAGCGACGCCCGAATCTCGCTGGCTTCTACCTGTGAATCATTTGATGATTTTATGCATTTATATCCCATTTAAAACAAAAGAAACAAAACTATGAGAAATTTCTTTTTATTAAAAAGCCGACCATAGATTTTAAGATTTTAGGGTCGGTCCCAAAGGAAATACAACATCGTTTTGTGTTAACGCCTAATAGTGATTTTAATAGCCTTGACAAATATTGTTCATGAAGTACTCTCCTATTAGAGATATGATTATAACTAAGTACAAAATTTGGACCACAGTCTGGTGCCACATTTTTGTGCAGGTCCACGTACAGTGCTTTTCATTGTTTATAATATTAAGCATGTGATAGACCAATTTGTAGTAGTGTTATGACACCCATAAATCCACAGATGGAGACATCGATCCTGCTTTGTGCATTTTAGAATAATCACTGCCAAAGTGATGGAGGTGCTTCATAAATACGTTTTGCTTGCCTTCTTGAGAAGAATACTTCACTAGTATTCCATAAAATGTACCGTTATTGCATAACTGAATAATGATTACATAAATTTTATGAGCACGTATCCAATATTCGTCTCGGTCGGTTGTACAATTTTGATATAAGACCGTTATCTGCCCATGCGCAAGATTGTTTCTATGAGCTGGTCTATTCAATCAATGTCTGTAAATTCGATGATTCCTACACCCCTTTAAAGGCAGTCCTTCCTATCTAAAACGCAATCATCAATCAGAGTCCCTTTTGAAATGCGTGACCATTCCATTTTATCTTTCACTAATTAGTTTAGCTGACAACTACCTTTAAAAAGTTTTATTAAACAATAAATATGGTTCCCAGGTCCACTACAAGATTGCTATAACTTCACAGTGAAGTTTGTGTTAAAGGGGAATGAAACCCGACGATCATTAGCTGATAATCATATTCAAAATTGTTACCGAGTTTTTAAAAATCGTAAAATTACTTGTATTTGATTATTTAGCAAGGAAAACAGTATATAAAAAGTTTCAGATTCCCAGATAGCCATTCTCCCATGGGAGTCGCCATTTTGATCAAAATAATGATGTCAGATGAGTAAAACTTGTGAGGGACATACTGACCTGTATTTTAGCTACAATGTGGGACACTTACACGTGAAATGCAGCTACATTACTGGTTTCCTATAAATATACTATTTTGGGTATTACATTCAGATGAATGTATATATTTTTATTAGTGTGACTTGATATTTGGTTGAACTACTCCCATAATTTGTGTTTACATATTCAACAGGTCACGTTAACGGAATTATCTTGTACACCTAATAAAGCGTCACGCAATTTGATTTGTGGCCACTTTTATTTTCAAAGGAAGCATATAGGCTTTATAGTACATAATTTGTATTCATATACAAACATTCAATTGAACAAAATAATGCAAAGGATATGTTTAATACTTCCACAAATTTATACTTTGAATCGTTTCAAATTTAGAATAGTATAGGTTGCCGTCTTGTAATCATTTTGTTACTATTTTTTGTTGTTGATGATTTTAGTTTCAACACTATACCTCAACATTGTATATACAACCATGATTTCCACTGAATATACGACAACCCTGTTTCTACGCCAATTGGTGAGGAAGAAATCATGTTATAGTGATCCAAATGCACATTGGTTCACATCATACAAACCTATCATGTGCCATCTCGATACCATTATCACTGCATAAGAGCTAGTATATAAAATCTGGTACTAAAACACTAACCCCATTTCAGAGCAAAACTAAACCATAGCTTTTTTATGGTTTAAACGTTAAAAGTTATAAACGTTTCTTTCAATTTTTCTTATATGTTTCTCTTACATTTATTTACAAGTCGTATGCACACCATCATCCAATGGAAAGAAAACAATCATTGCGATCTATAACAATAATAATATATATGTCAAGCGCTTTAGAGACGGTATTCCGTATTAAAGTAGATATTCATTGATTTTAAAAACTAACTCAGGACTCATTGAAGGGGGCAAGTGGCACCAGTAGGAAACATTCTCTGAAAAGCAAACAAAAACAAAAGAGCGAAAAGAAAATGTCACAATTATCAGGTAATTTTGGGGTCTAAACTTTTAAATATTATAAAAACCAATAGAATATAGGATCCCACAAGGGAGTCTCTTTAATTATTCAAAAACATATTCATAGTCGGTGGATTAAACGCTTTCGAGATCATCCGTTTTAGCTTGTTAGCCTCCCTATATCCCTGCTCCCCTAACCTATCTCGTTTTAGTTGAATGCATCCAGTTTGGTCATTTACACAATTTGGCACACCCTCCACTTTGCGCGGACAGTACACGTGGTAATGTATATCACTTCGGCCTTATGCACAATGCCTAGGTCACAGTTAACCTAGCCTCTTGTCGATGGCCCTGGCGCTGTTCGGGTACGTAAATTCTTGCTCACTTCGCTCGCCAGATACGAGGCGCTTGCGCCGAGGGCTTCTTAACAAGTGTTTTTCATTGATTGGCGAATATTCCGACCCAACTGAAGTTCGGTGAAAATCATCCAATCAGAGAGAGAGCTACTATGACGTAATATATACCGCTTTGTGTGGATTTCCTCCGTGAGAGTGAGACCGTCCGCCTATCTCCCGGGGCTTTCATGCATAATTCAGTACGAAATTGGGTCTCATGAATATATAATTCAGATCACTTGTTAAGAGGCCCTCGGCGCAAGCGCCTCGTTTCTAGCTCTCTTCACTCGCCAGAATTTACGGACTCCAACAGCGCCAGGGCCATCGACATTTAACCCGGACATCGGACAATGTTCCCGATATTGGGGCATCGTGTGATATGTAGAGGTAGTGGAGTAATCAGGTGACGGATTTTACATGAATGGGCGCCGCC